CTGTTTTTGCAAAAGTTTTTTTATCTTTTTTAAATTATTACCCCAACCCATTTTTATTTTCCCTTTATTTTTCTTTTATTATTAGTTTTTTTTCTTTTATTTTATTTTTATTTTCTTTATTGAATTTATTTTTTCCCGTTTTGATTTTCTGTAACCCCCCCCCCTGCTAGAGTTTCTCGTTTATTTACGTGTTACTCTTAATTTGTTCGTCCGACTTTATTTTTCTTTTGGTTTAGTTATTACGTTTTACTTCGTTCTTTTGTTTTTTCTTTCTTCGTTCGTTCTTTGTTTTTGTTTTTTTTAAATATCTGTTAAGGCTCTTGTTTTTTACTTGTTAATCTTTCCGTGTGCCTATTTGTTTTGATTTTTCGTCTTTATTTTGTTTACATTACCTTTCCGTATTTAATTATCTACCTCGCAACACTTGTTTGTTTATTTACCCGACGTTTAGTCTTATTTTCTTTATTATTTCTTCGTGTTTAATTTACTAATTTCATTAGCAAGGCTCTTGTTCTCTTTCTTGTGAAGAGACAAGACCGCTAGGGTATCTCGGGAGATCTGTTGACTTCATCCATCTGAAGGCGATCTGATTATGCCTAGCATCTTCTTCGCATCGTGTTCCTAGATCGAATGTTTCGGATGAGGACAGTGCCTTCAGGAAGGAAGACATCCGTAAGAGATTCCCATCCCTGAGAAGTGCGCACTCGTGCGAGGAGGAGGCCCATCGTTTACCACGAGCCGAGTGCTCCTTCCACCGTGAATGTCCTCTTGCTCTGAAACGCCTCATATGGGCGTCGGATGGCCTCTCCAAAATCCTGGCCTTGTCTCGTAAGTGTTAGTTGGGGTGTCCGTTCGTGATGATCTGATTGATGAGCTCGGTCTTACGAAGCAGGTAGCTCGCTCAATATTGGCTTGGGCGCCTGTGTTGAATAGGTGGTGATTCGTGGGGCCCTCTAGGTCGCCAAAAGATTGTGTTTAGCGGGCTTGGAAAAATCTCCAAACTGCCGACGCTGTTATGGGGAAGTCGAGGCCATTGGTCACGCCTTCTTTCAGTGCAGGGTGGCAGTGCCGTTGTGCAGGTTTGTTGAAGGCGTGATGGTCCGCATGTTGCAGGGAAAGTTCTTTGTCCTTGAGGCCAGTTCTGTTTGTAGCAATGTGGTGCTGCAGATGACGAAGGCTGAACAATATGTGTTCTTTTGCTTACTAGGTATTATGAAATTCGTGATTTGGACGAAATGTCAGAAGGAATTCTATGATGGCGAGAAGTACACTTCTTCCCAACTGATCTTGTTCGTTAATCATCAGCTTAAAGTCAAGATTAGGACGGAAAAGCGGTGGCTCACGTAATCAGAATTTGGCAAAAAATTGGGTGAATCTAGCGCGTTTGTGTCATGTAAAAGGGGCTGACCTAGAGTGGCATTTTGATGCCAGTTAGGCATCAGGATATTGTCCTTCCTGGGTTGAACTTGGGCCACCCATTCCGAATTTAGGCTAGTTGAGGTTTGTTTTTGAATCTTTAGTTTCCCTTTTTTTCAGTTAACTTAGCTAGGGTGTGTATGCTCATAGGCCCCTTTTATTTCTGTCCCTATTTTTCTTTTAGTTTATTTCACCATCCCCTCCTTCGTTAGGTTGTCAGTGATGTCAGTTCTCTGGTGGATACGCGGTGCCTTTCGTTTAGTGTGTGTGTTTTTTCGAATTTGTTGCTATGTCTGAATGTATGTTTGTGTCTGTGTCTGTGTGAATGCTTGGGATGAATGAAAGTTTTTATATTATTATAGTCTCGCATGTATTTCGTCCAGTTAACTAATGTTTCTGCCACATTTAAGGATTGTGGCGGGTTTTATTACTAACATGATTTTGTTTAGTTTCTTGTAAATAATGTTATTCTATATTGTATATAATCATTGGGATTTTTTAAATTGTTGTTTTATTCCCCTCCCACCACAGACATTGAATTGTATATATGGGGAATTGTGTATATGGAGACTATTTAGGGTTTTCACAGAGACAATGAGGTATTATGGTGAATGTAGTAAGAAAGGTAAGTAAGAATGCGTTGTTTTGGTGTTAGGAATATTGTCTGTATATTTGGGTCAGTGTTCGTGGCTAGCTAAGTTTAAAGTTAAAACAGATGAAGACCGTCCTTTTCTCCAACCCCCTTTTTTGGCCTTGTGCCACATTTTATGTATATAACAGAAATAAATATCAGGAAGTTTCCAGCAGTCAGCTCTGAGAGTCGGGCCGAACATTCTTGCTGTAACACTCTCGTTTGTACATGTTTGTATTACTGTTTTCTGTTAATATATTTGTTTAATTTAATTCTTCTCTTGTGTCTTTATTTCTGGCCCTAACAAGGCCACAACAGAAAGGAATAATAATAATAATAATAATAATAATAATAATATTTATTGCATATTTCTAGACCCTTAGACCTAATAGAAGCGTGATTAGAAAAGATGTTAAAATTCGGATTTTTCAGACACGTCTCTGTCCTTTCTCAACGAAAAACAAAATGAAGTTGAACTTTTGGGGTGACTTTCTTTTATAAGGCAGGAGTGTGCAGTGGTTTGGTTAATAAATAAATCGATACATATCTTAAGTTACGGAGCGTTCTTCAATTCTCATTGGGCATTTGACGGCATATCACGTAAACATTGTCAAATCATCTGCATACTCTTCGAATTCCATAAGTAAAGAGGAAGTTTCACTTAGCTTCTTCCCTAAAAGCAGCCTCCCCAGATGATACTTCTCACATCATACAAATTCTTCAAGTCTAGGGTCAACCGTTATCTATCCTACATATCCTTCTAATTTGCGCTTAATCTCTTCACGTGTGTTTATACAAAAATTTCATTCAGTAACCCTCTGCTTTGAGTGACTCTTGTCTTTTGTAGTGGGTGAATATTTAATAAAGAAAAAATCGCCGTGAAAGATTCCTGGGCATTTGTCTAAGAACTTGTACATCTGTTCGCCTAAATTTCCTATGAAACATTGCCTTCTTAAACAATTCGCCAATTGTGGAACAGCCTGCAGAATGTTCGAAGGAATATATATATATATATATATATATATATATATATATATAACTACTTACATCTCTCCAGGTCTTCTTTCGAAACATTTACCTCCTAGGCAGACACCAAGGGCTTGCAAAACGGCTTTGCTTGGATAATTCTCTGCTGCGATAAGATTAAGGCTTTGCTTTTCCATGCGTTTTTCTTTTGCTATCAAATTGTAGATTTCAAAGTCTTCCTCCTTAAGGTCAACCCGCAGCATGTTTTCCATGTCACGCCTTTGTATTTTCAAAGAATATATACACAATCAAAGAGAATGGATCGAACCTGTAAAGAGAAGAAACATTTTTACTGCTTTCCGACAACAAACCAGGAAAGACAATCAAAAAGTAAGAAGAGACTGTTCGATGTTTGTTATGATTTAAAGAAAATACTTTATAAGTAAAATTAAAAATGTAGATCACATATATAAAAAAATTGCAATGTTCAATACAGTTTTTTTACACAGTCGATTTATTAATATCTTATTATATCGAGATTAAAATTATAATTTAGATAAACAATTGCCACTTTCTTTCTTCCTGAATATATTCTTTTATTGTCCTTTCTCTTCACTAATGTCTTCTCATTCTCTGTTTTCCCAATAATCCCTTGCGTCTTAGTGGCATTATCGCCATCTTCTGTCTTCCTGAAACCTGTTCTATTATTGCCCTTTCTCCCGACTAAAGTCTTCTCATTCTCTTTCACTCCCAGTAACCGTTTGCGCCCTAGTGGCAGTATCGCCTTTCTTGGAGTGAAATGTTTAAAAACAATAAACTGCATTAAATTAACTTAAACCAAATTAAAATGAACAGATTTTTTATTGTCCTCAAGATTTCCTTCGTTCATTAACAATGTTGTACGAAGGAATTTTTACATTAAAAGGTTTTTCTTTAGTTAAACTTTTTGTCAAATTAAAAAAAAATGGGAACAACTTGAAACCCCCAAATGACAGAAATGTCAGCACATATACAAATTATTAATAGGATCTCAGACACTGACAACCCAATTCTTGGATTTACAAAAGAAGATTTTTATATACCTTTCAATTTCTCTGCCAAATATTTGGCACATATACCATAAATTATCGTATAACATACTTCTGAAAAAGGATTATCTAAATCTTTGACATTCCTAAATTAGGTTCTCAGTGAAATGAATATGTTTTAATTTCTAAAAACATATCATCTTTTGTAGAAAATCTGTTCTGTTCTGTAAGAGAGAATAAACAAAATCTGGTTGGATCTCGACTGCATTTTCAAACGCGTGAACGTTGCTCTTGTTGAACTGCTTGCTTTTTTTTCCCGATGTCTTGTTTTTCGGTTTAATGAATACAGCTATTTTAAATTTTTTTTTTGTTTTCACATTTCCAACAAAAACAAAACAAACAAAAAAAAAAAAAAACGAAAACAAAAAAATGCCTTATCGGTGTTAATGGATTTTCCGCAAGAACGTAAAGAAAATTTAACTTTCGCGTTCGTTGAATATTCATCATCAGAAAAATGACGGAATCAATATGAGACCAAAAGGAACACGATTTCTTTTTTGGGGTTAGAAATCGGTAGGAATGGACGATCAGTTTTTCTTTATCGTTTTCCATTTCTGCTTTTTCTTCTTCAACCTCACAAAAAAAAAAAAATTGTGAAAAAGCAGACGTTATTTTTTTTTATATATCGAAATCGTCTGCAGATTATTTTGTTAATTAATGTTTTTGTCAATCGCTATCTACTGTCCTTTTGATTACACTTTCCACTCGCCGTTCATTATTAATGTTTCTGTTTCTAATTCTACCACACCCTGTAACTCCTTGTGTCGTAGTGGTTTGCATGCGGTGATAACGATTAAAAAAAAAGCTAAGCAACATATTAATTATTTAATTTAATATTTAAAGCTATAGATTTTACATGCTATTTTGTTAAGTCGTTTAACCCCAAGCAAGGCGATAACGGGAAAAAGAGGAAGTAAGAAAAAAAAATCGAAAACCAAACAAAATAAAGGAGTAAATTGAGAAATAAATAAAGAAGAAACGAAAAAGAATATGAAATCTGAATATATAAACATTATAATGAGAAGAAGTAAAAGAAGAAGAAAATGTAGAAAGAAAAATGGCGATAAAAAAAACGAAGAAAAAAGAAAATTAAAGACGTACATTAAGAAAAAAAAAACGAAGAAGAAAAGAGAAAAAAGAAATTTGTGGAAAAACATGATAATAATGGGAAGAAATGAAGAAGAAAAAGAAGTAGAAGCGATGAATTGTTGAAAGAAAGAAAGGAAAATAGGAAAATATCACAAAAAGGAGAAAAAAAGACATGGGAAATCTGGAAAAAAGGCGTAAAACAATCGAGAGAAATTTGGAAAATTAAAACAGAAAAAATATATGACATGAATTCATAGCAATTAGTTTGAGTCGGAAGTAATTTCCGTTTTTTTATTTCTAATATTTTGAAGAATAAAGACGATAAACAGAAAATGAAATTACTCATGATTCAAACAAAATAAATCAATGAAAACAAATAACCCTAAAACCAGGAGGGCAAATACGACTTTTACATACCTGTGTTGTGACACGGGAACGTTACGATGTGTCGAGTACGGACGAACAAACTTCACAGATAAATTCGAACTGCAAGTCACGTGACCCGTGTTGAAAAGTCATAGCACTACCGGGACGAACGTTATCTTTGTGATTTAAGTCATTACATTTCTCTTATATTATATATATATATATATATATATATATATATATATATATATATATATATATATATGCATGCATGCATGCTTGATGGTTCGTCAAAAACGTGTGAATTTCTTTTCATTTTTCATTTCAACCTTTGGAAGTAAAGTCTGATGATCCAGAGCCCTGTTAAAGGGGTTATGGTGAAATAACTTATTACATGGAACCTGGAACCTGGAACATGGAATAAAAACAGACCACTTTATGGTTCCATGTATATTTTTATATTTAAAAACCTTGCTCGCCTTTTTACTTTGTTGTGGGTTGATCCTGCACCGCCTTTTCCTCAAGGTCTCATAGCACAGTGGGTTAAAGGTGTTAGTTAGATCCAGTGACAGGACCCAAAGAGTGTGAGTTTAGTACCTAGTTAAGGCCATGGAAAACTTTAAGAGAGGAATTAACAGGAGATAACTGACATCCATTAGACATGGCGCGTGGAACTAGAACAGTCTACCCCAGTGAGCGAAATAAAGGGTTCAGTTCGACAATCCAACCACCTGAAGAAGGCCGGAGCGTACAACGGCCGAAACATTGTAATAAATATGGCGACAAAGATGAGGACAATAGTCCGAATAATGTAAATAGTTTACGTAATACCTCATCTCAAAAATATAGACAGATACTTTCTGATCATTTCGAAAAAGATTTTGAGGTAATGAAATTAAAAAAAAATAACTAAACTATTATTTCGTAAACATTACATGGTGCCTCTAAAAAGTTTATAAACCTTATATTCTAAGGTCTGGAGGGTTTGCACTTCGGAATTTAGGATTCAGAATTGAGAATTTAAAGTTAGTATGAATGTGAGAATTTGTCATCTTTTAGAGGCTAAGATTAAGAAAGGTCAGGACGAAGGATTATTAAGATTCAAGATGGGATTTTAGAGTTTAGAAAATGAAATCTATCATTTCTCGTGAATGGGAAGCAAGTAGGAATTTGAAACCCATGCAGAAAACATTTTAGCGCAGTTTTAAAGTCTTTTAAATCAGTGGTTCACAACCTTTTTTTAGCTCATGGCCACTTTGAACCCAAAATTTTTCTATGGCCCATGAAATTATTATAATGTCAAAAATTACTTCAATTTTGTGGTTCATAATTTGTGACCCATATATTAGCCTGGTGGCCGGATAAACATTGTAAAATTTTCTGTGGCTCACCTGAAATTTGTCATGTTTGACACTAAGCCGTCGGCCCGTGGTCAACTCTCAGTGGCGGTGTGAAGCTGTAATGTTTCTTCTACCGGTGTTTTGGGGTTGACTCTTTGTCGCTGCCACCAGCCTGTGTTCCGGTCGATCTATGGTCGTCGCTACTCGGCGAAATTCCCTGGTCAGGATACCAATATGGGACACTGGCCTGTCCAGGGTCGAAGCCTGATCGTCGATGTTAACGGCTTCACCAGCTGTACCGGTTCAATACCAGCTCTATCATTCCAAGCTCACTTGCAACGTCTGGTTACTGGAGTAACTGCTTCGATCTCAAGTCTAACCCACCCACGTTGTGACTTTGATCTTAGGTAGACGAGATCAATCAGGCGTCGGGCCGCAGTGTAAGCTGACTCCAGACTGAAGGCATAAGCGCAAAGAAAAAAAAAATGAATAAATAAAAGAAAAACCCAAGAGGTTCAAGTATGTTAAGAAATAACAATTAACTTTATCTTTCTGTTATATACAGGAGTGTGTTTTTCTCCCAGCCCGTTTCCTACGAAATGTGATACTTCTATGTTTCAAGCAAGTTGGTATCGTAAATCAACTAATTTAGTTCTTAGGTGTTGGCTTAGCTTCGTTTATCAGCATAACTTGCTATTGTTAGGATAGGCGAAGTCAGATGTCATGGAATCTCTCGGTCAGCTCGGACATAAATCAACTTGACAAGACCTCAAACATGGCTCTTTCCACGGGTTTACTGCTTTTGTAGAAAGTATCTTTTTTTTTGTAAATAAAATCAAATCTTTCTTTTAATGTCGATCAGTTTATCTTTCGTGATAGCACTTTTTCGTCTTAAGTCTTTCCTGTTTTGAATTTCTATGGTTAATTAGTTAGCCAATTACCATAGCTAAATAGTGTCACATATGGTTCATTTTGGCCACGTGGCCATAGGTTGGGAAATGACAGGTTGATGTTCTGCCATGTTAATAAAATAGTCAGAAGTCTTTTACGGTATATTTTTAGTATTAGCATCTCAATCTAAGGAGACAATAATAGATATATTCTTGAAGTGATATAGGCTTGCAGTAGCATCTGCTATGATATGATAGACTGGTATGCAAGTTGCAATCTCTGTTGCAATTAGAACATATGAAGCAAGAAGCCTGACTTGCAAAGATTGCCTCAGCACATTTTCTCCGATTCCTTGCCTCAGCTGCAAGTTGGCCCACCCCACGATGTCAATATGATGCCAATAGCATTATCAATGACCTAATCATTACGAATTTATTTTAAGAACTGTGATAACATAATTCAGATTTACATGACATCAATCGTATCTGACAAAATTCTTAAATGGTAGTTCAATTTGTAAAATCAACGTAAATCGATCACCCACTTTACTACCAGTGTAATGAAAAAAACAAAAACAAAAAAAAAACTACTTTCAGTTTTCTTTAAAGCATTAAGTAGTTCCAAAGGATTTCCAAATTATTTCATTGGTCAGGGTCCGTTTTATGTTGAAGTTACATAGCGAACTGAACATCCCCTATTAAAATATTTGATAATCGTATTTTACGGGGTTGGTTGGTGTGGTTTCTGTTGTGGATCAATACCCCCCCATAAAATACAATTATCTAAATAAAATTAACCAGTTTAATATTTTTAAAGTACTATTTTTAAAAAAATATACTGTAAAAATAAAATTAATTTTCTTTTACATTTTTAACAACAATGTTAATAAAATTCAATATGCATTCTTAAATAATTGTTGTTTTTTTAAAATTTTTGAATCAATATGTTTGTTGATATGAAGAATAATATCAGAAAAAGATATTAAACTGAATTTTCAAATGTGCAAATTTCTGTATAGTACTTTGGGAAAATTACCAGTGCAAAAGTTACATTTATTTTTTTTGTTTTCTTACAAGACAGTATAAACACAAATTATTCATTAAAAATGAATTTTATAACAAAAATATTCTTTATTGTGAGAACATTCTTAATAATGACAATTTTTAGTGAATTTCACTGTTTAAAATAATCGCAAAAATGTAAAAAGAGAGAGACAAAAAATTCTTTATTATTTTTTGTACTATATATTTTAAAGAATAATGATAACATCGCCGGTATGTAACTTTTAAAACATTTTTCCTCTGCTTTGGTCTATCTTATGAAGTCAAGTTAAACGTTTGTTTAATGTATTTATCTTTTATACATTTATTTTACGTTTGTATCTTTTGCTATTTTGGTAGGATATTCTTCTTGGTTATTAATTTATCGGAACTTCAGAATAAAACAAAAAAGTACATTTATTCAATAAAATCGCCACTGGTTTCAGCCACGGTCTCCAGACGACTTCGGAATTTCCTGCAACTCTGCTGAATGTTTAAGTTAGTGAATGCTACCATAATCATGCCTTCAGTTCATCTTTTGTATTACAAAGAATTTTGTTGGTCTCTCGTTCAACTGCGCTCTACACATAATAATGAAAGGGGTTACAGACTGGGGAGTTAGGTGGCTAGATATTATGGGTGATGTGGTCACAGAAATGATCTGTTAGTCATGATTGGGTTCTGCTGCTTGTGTGGTATGGTGCAGAGCCCTGTTGCTACGCATAGGTTCTTTCAGCAGCCGCCCTCTTGACCCAGGGCAGCATTACCTCGTCAAAACATTTGATCTAGGACTCCTTGTTCAGTCTGAGATCCTCACCAAAAAATTTGTTTGTTCTTTTTTTAACAGAACGACCAGAGTGAGTTTTCCGAGCTACGAACCATTGTAATAACCTTTAGACTCATTGAACGCTTTAGGAATCCGCTGCACTGTCCTCGGATTGACACCTAAACACTCTGAAATGTTCGAAATGAAGCGTCCGGAGCGAATGCCATGTAATATAGTGTGCTTTTTCCAAATTTCTGGCAGAATGAATTGCGTCATGAACCCCTTTTTTTCTCACAGATGCTGTCCAACTGATCCTTGTATACTGTGCAGTGGACAAAATCAAAAACATACATGCGCATATATATAATATAATCTACTATCTATATTTCTCATGTTGTCTGTCTGTGTGTCTGTCGTGGGCATTGTCACCTCGCCCAGGCCGCATTTCTCACCCGATTTCGATGCGGTTTTCAACACAAGTTTGCAAATGGCTGCCGTAAGGACATGACGGAGCCCGATTTTTGAGTTCGGAATCAGATTCCGAAAAAATCGAAAATCGAAAAAATCGAAAATCGAAAAATCGATAATCGAAAAAATTCTGCTTACAGAAGGAATGATCGCATTTCAACCAAATTTGACACCCTGTTAGAGTCTAACATTAGAAGTGTTGTCCAGAAGTTTCATGACCACGGACCCCTAAATAGCGCGGAAAATCGATAAAATCCAAAAACCGATACGCCTAGATTGCGTCTGAACCGCATGTCGGTTTTT